TTACAGCAACACCATAGTGACCCGCGGGCAGCATGTCGCCTGCTCCTCTCTGCGTCAACATGTCATGATGCTCAAAATAAAGGAACTTTGGGCCAGTTGATGAGTAGTCTTTCCTGTCAAGTGCTTCCTTCCTTCTGCCTTGTGCGATCAGATATTTACACATTATGGCATGATGCAACCATTTGCCCGTTCTTTCTTGTACAATAAAGAATGTAGTAATGGCCAGTGTGATGAAATTCGCGATGTGTTTTGGTTGATAAACATGTTCAATAAAACTTTTGGAGTAGGCGTTGCAGCCAAAAACTCTGCCAGCATTGCAACTGCGCACACTAATTGCTCAAGCAACAACCATACGAGGTTCGCACACATCGCGAATTCTGCCAACTGTCAATTTCATTATTTCTATACAATCCCCAAAAAAACGGTTGAATCATGAACCACTAATGTTACGAGAAACATGCGATATGCTTCCCATGCGTCACTACTGTGTTGCAGTAAAGCACGTCTTGTTTCACGTAAGCGCACATTTTAACCCCCCTCCCCTCCCCGCAGGAAATAACAAAGAGGAGGTGCTTGAGCCACCACTCATTAGTATCGGTAGGTTGACTGGCTTATGGCTCTTAAGGGCCATCGTTTTTGCGGATTTGCGGCGAAATCGGGACCAGGAATCGAGACGTGGCATCCAAAGTTTTCGAATTAACCGAACTTGTACTAACCAGTGCTGCAAATTACCCGCTCTTGCAAATTACAAAACTGCAGAAATATTTTGAATTAAGCAAGATTTCAAGATAAACAAGAACAAATTAATTAGCTCACAAAGCAGCTCCCCGCAGGTGTTTCGCTCAGACACAAGTACTGATTAGTAAGATGAGCTTGTCGAAGCTCCCCGAACATATTGGCCATACCCGCCCGGACTGAAGAGATGCTCATTGGACATCATTATGAGGAGGTTGAGGGCTTGCTTGTGGACCATGCAGAGAGCTGCATCTACCCCATTCTCCTTGCATTTGTGTAGGTGTAGGTAGGGAACCGAATATAAAATTCGGCTGGTGATGAATGCATTAGGCAGCTGTGGGGCATCTTCGCAACTATTGGATACACGACGAATCATTCGGCCCATCTGCTAACCCACCTTAAGCATCTTGTGCAAGATAAAGTCAATCTTGTGCCTTTGATGAATCAAAATCCCCAGCATGTTGATTTCTTTGCGTTCAGGTATTAATCCCCTTAAAAGAGAGAGGGCAATTTTGGTTATGCACATAAAGTTTGGGCAAAAATGCTCGAATTCCGATTAGCTCGAGAAGCATTCAAGACCTCAGCAACAAGCATATATTTCTATAGTAGCTGTCGTTTGTTGCAGGTTTGTCTGAATCTCTCCAATTGAGCGTTGTGTTGCCCAGATGGTGATGTCCGCATACAGCGCGTGCTGTACGTCGGTGACCTCAGCTAACTAGGTAGGCAGCTTCATCATGGCGAGATTAAATTATCCTGATGACAGGACCACTCCCCGTGGAGTCCTTCGTGTGCCCAGTAGACATGAGCCATGTTCTGTGCTTTGTAGCCGAATATAGGCTTGGTGATTTTCTGGGAATTGACAAAACGGAAAGTATTACGTCCAACGTCACGTTTGGTAGTACAAAATTAGTCTCATTGTCCAATGTACATACAGGTCAAGTGTGTGAACCATTTAATATTTCAACAGGGCCTCCTTGTGTACACAGCTGAAGCAAGGCACCTTGTGCGGGTACGTGGTGCCTGCCCTGTCATTTGTCGAAACTTACAATGAAGAAGTAAAGATATAAATCTCCCTCTCACGATATACAGGGTTGGTTTAGGTTAATGCGACAGACAACATTTCTATCAGTAGAGTCATCTTATTTTCTAAATAGTTCTCAGTCCCTTTAATAGAATTACCTAGCCCCCGAAGTAAGAGATGTTACTTGACTCGTACTTGACTCGTTCTTGACTCAAGACAGTCTTGCCGGTCGCCATAAATCGTTCTCGAACTTGCGGACTACTTGAAGGCGACTTGGCTCGGTCGAAGTCAGGATAAGTTTTAAGTCAGCTGCGAGGCTAGCTTGAAAGCGACTTCATGCGTTATTCCAACATGGCCACCTCTCGAATGGACGTCGCGCGGAGGGTGGCCGCTTTTGACTTTGCTCGCATCGCCATAAGCGTAGCATTTTCTGAGGCACACTGCCTGTTGAAGATTCCTGGACCCGCTTTACGTGACTGAGGAAATCTGATGGAGTTGTACGACGAGCAACAATTCCACACTCTGTAAAGATTCACAAAGAATGCCGTGCAGCAGCTGCTCGCTATGTTGCCGCTCCGTGAAAGTGGGGACAACCGAAGACAGCCTGTGCATACAGTGTTACAGCTACTGATGGCTCTCAGGTTTTACAGCTCAGGCACATTCCAGTCACCGGAATCTCGTCCGCATTCCATAGTCAACAGTGTGCTGTGCAGTCGGAAAAGTTACGCTACTCATCGCAAAGCACCTGTACGCGATACTGGTGCACTTTCCGGAGCCGGCGGCACTTTCTATAGTTATACGGGACTTTCATAAAGTGGCCGAGTCCCCTGGTGTTACGGGCTGTGTCGACCACACACATGTGCGTATTAATTGCTTCGGTGGGGAAGCCGCCAAAGCGTTTTGTAAGCGCAAAGGCCATTTCTGTTTTTCTTAAACACAACGACGATTTCCGCCTCTTTCGGTACAAAATTGACTCGGTGCTGTGCCTGTGTGCCTCGTCTATCTTTTCGTCCCGTCTAGGGCGCTGTTTCTCGCTCAGAAAGGCATTGCTTGTAGCACAACGCTACGTAGAATTCCACACACATAAAAAAGAGGTGCATCTATCACGGGTTTTTTTATCCGCTTCACCATCATGCAGCGAGACACTGCTGCACCCCGGGAGACAGAGTTCTGCTGAAGGCAATGTCCTGACCCCCGCTTTTTCTCTTGTTTACTAAGCTCAACAAAAGGATACGAATCACATTTGTTCCCAGAACTTGTTTTTTCTTTTTTTTTTCATATATAACTGCGACCTAGCCCACTACAGGCATGCACACAGGCGAATAGAAAGGCAAATACCGTGAAAATCGCGTCACCTCGTGAGCCGGGTAAGCACAAATACATGTCGTGGCGTTCGATTGAAAAAAAAAAAAAAGTACGAAAGAACCTAACGCGATGCTTGCTTCGCCTCCAAACAAGCAACCGTGGAGAAACGCGCCGCATTTGGGCGGCCACTGAAACCAGCGGGCCACGAACGCGTTACAGAAGCAACACTGTGTATCGCTGTGGCAGCAGGCATCACGTGCCGCTCGTTGGCCGTAAAATGACAAAAATATGCTTGTGGCACTTCGTTTTTATAGTTATTTTAAAACATATGGTCTTTTTTTGCTGTAACATGTGCCTTACGTGAACAGCTTAATTATTACCCTCGTTAGCAGGCGAGCAGCGTGTTTCTGCTTTGAAGCTTGTTCTTGACTTGACCAAGCAAGACAGCCTGAGCATCTATGAAATGCGGAGGCTGAAGGCTGACTTGGGGGTTTTGAATTCCGCTGCTTGCTTCACACCGACTTACTCAAGTCAAGTCGAATGCGCGAGCCAAGTAACATCTCGGAATTCGGGGGTAAACCTTTTTCTATCTTGCTAGAAAAAAGTCACTAAGAATCGAAGCACCCTTAGAACCAAGGCAAACTCCCAATTCGCACACAAATGCCTTCCTTCCAGCTTACCAGTGCTGACTTCATATACATGGAAAGAATTTTTAGAAAAGCCTCCATTAACACACTACACCTATCAGTAAAAACAGCTTTTTGTACTTGTTCCTTATTAACCAATTGTAACACATTTTAATAATCCCACACGTGGCAAGGAGCCATAAAGTTTTTGATATCCATGCTAAAAGCTTTCGAAGCCTGAGTGAGGGAAAAACTGAACAAGTGCCTGAGAATCGCACACGTGGAAAGTGTCTGAAAAACTTAGTGAAGTTAGGCATTACAATATATCGCATTGCAATAGCGCAGCATAAAGAAAAGAGGCAAAACTGAAGAGGGGATGAGCGATCCCTCTTCACTTTTGCCTCTCTAAGCTTAAACTAAGCTGTGCTATTGCAATGCACCGACTTGCCCATTCTGCAGTACTTGTCAAGGTTAAGCAGTTCTGCAAAAAACTAGAAGCAGGGATTTGCCCGGTGCCTTTCCCTGAAATAATAGCTCGAAAAACAATCACTTTCTTACATGTTTTCATTTAGAAAATAACACTATTTGAAAGGAACAATAAAGAGCAAAAAGATTTTTGCGTATTAGTAAGGTACAATTCCACAACCGAAAAACACTACTCTTACAGCAACACAACGCTTTGTAAGCAAGAAAACGTGCAAAAAAAAAATGCAGGTCGAGGCACCACCATGAGATTCCTCCACCAAACACCGCGATGTAGTAAATTTTGAACGACTCTACTGGGTCCTGTATAGCTTCCACTCAATAAAAATGAAGTACATTGTCATCTGTGGGTGCCATACCCCTAGCATACGAAGTTTCGTAAAGTTTCATCAAGCCAATGTATCGAAAATATGAAAAAATACATTTCGTCACTTGTTATGTCACGTGCAGAGATTTCGGCCCAAAATTTAAAAGTGTTTCCGAAAGTCGAGATTGCGCTAAATATCTTACAATAGAACTTCCCCCTTGATTTTTTTGCTAATAATTAATTTGTGAATGCGAGAATTAAGCCATTCGGTTTCTCAGAGTGCAGGTGATCAGTCTATACCAAGTAAGTCTTACTCTTTAGTGTCCCTATAAGGGGACTGATTTAGCTTTCTTGACATTACTTTTTATCCTTTAAAGATTATGTCTTATCAGGAGCCTGACAGCATGTTACCTAACTACCGATAGTCGTACAGCCTCTTCACTATAAAAAACTCAGTCAAAGTGCAAAACAAACAAACTTACAATGCTATGCTAGTCAAAAGAAAATGGCGCTGTAAGCATACCTGCAAGTGGGCCGGGTGCATGAGCAAGCACAGCCAGGAACTGAGGTAAGGGCAGGTCGCAGTGAGCAGGGAACCCAGGGGGGCTCCATGCACCAAGTTTTCCCATACCTGTAGGACACAGGGAGTGTCACAAACACAACATCGTTATTAAAAGTTGTGCTAAGTGGACTCTAAGCAGACCAAAAAACAAGAAGAAGAAAACTGAGCCCAGTGACTCATTTCTTGTAGGGTCTAGTCAGGGCACGTTTACCAATAAACAAACACTACTACGCAGGCTTGACAGTAATTAACCCCTTTGTTGCTGCAAAAAAAAAAGCTTATTTTTTATAAGTCTCGGTGAGAAAGCTTTTGCCAGTTTGAAAAGTATTCCAGCACTCATTGCAGCACACCAAATTATACACAATGAGCTGCACTTTCCGAAAATGTAAGTTGTACATGAGCAAAAATATTGTGTAATAAATAAAAATGAATTCTTAAAGGAAACCCTTTTCTTGTGATGAAAATCTTGCAGGAAAAATTCAAACAAGGACAGAGAGCACTCGTGTGTGCTCAGCCCTACCTCAATCTTTCCTGAAAGAGCCTTCAAGTACTGGCTCCAACTGGCCCAGCTTTCAGTTCTTCTACATGTTGAATGAACTTCATAACCTTGTATGGTGTCGCCCGTTTTCATAAGCCACCGCACGGGTTTGCATTTTAGCCCTCCCCTTATTGCAGAGTAGCAAACCAGATGCTACAATTTCTGATTGACCTCCCTGCCTTTCTCTCACTTTATTCACTCTTAGCAGCATGGTTTTAGCCCAGCGCAGCTCCTTATGGGTCCTCAGCTAAGAACCAAGTGCCCAGGATGGAAGAAATGCTACACCCAAACATGCCACCGAAAGACACAGTAGCATCGAGAAATGCACCCTACCAAAGAAAGCAAAACCTACAAGCAGCATCATCAGGCCACACATCAAATGCAGCTTCATAAAGAACAGCATGTCTGGGTGTGGCCAGAAAATGTAAAAGGGGCTGTGTTGAGCCTTGCACAGAGACCCAGGAGCTATATAACAGAAACAGGACAAGGCAATATCTTACATCACAACAGGTCCCTTTTGTTCCTGCATCACTAACAGCTCAAGCTTCATCAGAAGAAACCCAGCCACAGCTGCAAGTAGCGCACCCAACACCAGGTCGCTCGAGTACCACGGTAACAACGAGTGACACGGGACCTAAGTAAAACTTGTTTTTGGGGTGCAAAATTATTAGAAAATGCGAACCACCATGAAAGAATATCTTTTATTTTTGCTTATTCTTCCACGATAGTTTGAATCATCTAATTTTTTTACGACTCCAAACCGACTGGTGCTGTTGGTGCTTGCGATGCTGTTGTGGCAGATGCATGGCCCCATCTGACCATCTGAACTTATGAACCTGCGGTAAGAGGGGAAAGCTTGCTACTGTTACGTTGGTTTTAGCTGTGAAGAATAAAGAGAGTTGTTTGATTTAAGTGTCAACCAGTTGTCCCACTACAGGCTCCTCAGGTGCCTAGGTAAATGTCCCTGTAAACAGACAACACTACAGCACCAAAAAGAAGTCTTCTTGTTCTGACAGGGCTGACAGCTCGAGTGACAACACAGAGACAAGAGGTAGCTACACACTTGTACTTTGCCGCACAAGTGGCAATAGCGTTCGGCTTGATTTGCTGATGTTGCAGCGACATGAAAGGAATCGAGCTGTCACACCTAGGCAGTCTCGATAAGATCGAGGCCACCGTCTTCATTTACAAGACAGAAAAGGCAAAGATGGTATGTATGCCTATCTTGGCACACTGATGACTCCACTTGGAATGTTAGGCCGTGGGTTTTCACGACCTTGCAGATGACTCATTCAAATTAATACAAGAGCTCTGCCATATTTTCCACCAAGATCTGCTTGTTCACATTGAAACCTCATTCTACTGAAGCCAGCTCATGGCTAAGCAAAAGAAGGGCATTACAAGAGTGAGACGGCCGAGACTGAATTGGGAGCAGATTTGGGAGCAGATTCGGGAGCAGCAAAATTCCGATAATTCCGATTTTTGAGCAAACGAACCTTGCTTTGGAGCAGCTAGCGGCATTCAGACGTGCCAACCCCACAGTTCTTAAAGTACTACAGGAGATGACAAAAAATACTAAAACCAAGTACAAAAATACTAAAATAGCGCTTTATTTTCTAAGAACTGGCTTAGATGAATGGAATACAAAAGAAACATTTCACAAAAGAGGCACAAAAAGTTCTCAAGTTTCGGAAGTGGAGGGGTGGGCTAGCATAGAGGCCGTGGCAGCCTTGGCCTTCCTCAGAAAGTCCTTGTCAAAGACCTGTTCGTGGCACTTTCCCGAGTGTGACTGGGCACATCTTGCGACAAGCAACTGCTCCACAGTCTTTTTCGACATGGAGGCACGGAACTGGGTGTGCGCCTTTTTCACTTTGCTGAAGACTCTTTAACACTCCGCATTACTATGCGGGAGTGTTAGGACCCCCAACATAAATTTTGAAAGTCTGGCATACTTAAAGCTGCCATCCACTTCTCGTAAACCGGACACCGCCCGCCATTGCTCATCAATCTGCTGCTCCTTAGGTACTTCAGCGGGTAATTCTTCCAACTGAAGACGCGTGAACTCTGCCTGAATGTCGTCCAGAGCAGAATTCACATCTTGCCCCTCTTGAAGTGGTAGCAGCACTGGGAAGCGGTTGATTAAGTACTTGACATCAGAAAACCTGGCGTGTTCAATGGATGCAAGCCTTGCTACTTCTGCACTCTTCAACAGCTCACACTTCAGTGGAAATTTCAGGATCATGTACTCCGTTGCCGCAACGAAGAACCTTCTTATATGTGTAAAAAACTCTTCCCTTGCTTCTTTTTTAAGGCCTTCCAAGGTCTGTGTGGTCCGACTACCAATTACAATATCTTCACTATCTCTTTGGCTGACGGAAGATTTGTAGTCAACGTCAGCCAACACATCAGCTTTTTTGATCACTGAAGGTTTTACAAAACGCAACATGATCTCTCTTAGCAAGTTACTAAGCACTTCACGCAGCAAGTGCACTTGAGGGGCTCCAGACTGCAGGAACACGTTCACCTTTTCAAACTCTGGGATTACAGACAGCAAGAAGTCACAGTATGCTCTATTTGCATCTGATGAAAGAAACATGAATAGCCTTTCTTCTCTGTTTAAGACCTTTCCTGGACGGTTTTGGGTTCGCTTGGGAGCTGTATCCGACACGGGGATATTTGTGTCCAGTCTTGGTCTTTTGCTCTGATGACTGCTCTCCGCTTCCTTTGCATGCTTCTGAAGGTCAGTGCGAAGGTTACATGGCTTGCTGAGAAACTTGGAAACTTGCCCAGAGGGCCTTACTTCACTATGGAAGAAACTAAGCAGTGGCTGCCACTGGTCCACAAGCCGTTTCAGGCTCCTTCCAAGAGAGAGCCACCTGGTGCTGACATGCTTTAAAATTTTCTTGGCCTCTACATCGTGGAGAGACTGAAAAGCTTTCAGCTTGTCCTTCCTTTTTGAGCTTTTCTCGAGGTAGTAGAAAATGTCAACTAGCACCTCATCCACATTCAGTGGAAGGCATGCTGAGCCTTTCTGTGCCGCCAGATTGATCAAATGGCAACAGCAGCCCATGATGGCAATGTTCTCATGGCTTTCTTTCAGCACAGCAGCCACTCCGTTTTTTAATCCAATCATGACTGGCGCGTTATCACACGCCATGCCGATGCAGTTCTGGAGCGGTATCTTTTTGCTCGTTAGCGTGTCCACAACAAGCGCACCGATGTTTCATCCCGTGGAGTTACCTTCGAGGGAGGGCATCGCGAGCAAGGCAGTGCGAACAGTACTATCACAGAACGTCACCATGATTGGATACAGTTTTGCATCATTGCCGGCGTCATTGCTCCCGTCTGTGGCGACTGAGAACGGAGCGTGCTGCAAGTGACTTATCACTTCGTCGATAGCTTTATTGGCCATTTCCTTCACAATCGCCGTAGTCTTCGTACGGGCGCAGGCGTAGTTCTTAGCTTCCTTCGAGTCCGGAAATATTTTTCAAAAGAGGTCTCCAGCGTGATCAGCAGCCGTGAACGGCACGTTGTGTTCAATCAGGAACGCAGTAAAAAGGCACTCGCTCGAGTTGTAGTATCGAGATCCGCTTTGCTGAAGTACCCTCCAAGTTTCCCGTAAGAGTCCACAAGTTTCGCCGAGTCTTTGTGTTTCTTCGTATTCACATGTAGCAGAATATCCCGGCGACCAGCGTGCGAAATGTTCACATCACAGCAGCACAAACTACAAAATGCGTACCGCTCACCTTTACGCGACCTCTTAATAAATGGAAAGTCAGTCGAACAGCTGGGAATAAAAACTTGAAAGTATTTCTTCTCAGACATCTCGTGAGCTGCTAGGGCTGAACCATACGCTACCGCTCCGCAAAAACATGTGCAAGGCACCTCCCGCAGCGCATGGTAACAAAGAAAGTCGAGCACATTTCCACTATCCGCGAAGTCAATGCCTTTTGGCTTTGGCTTTGACTCTTATCTAATGCCGCATTAGATATGTTTTCTAGGAGCTCGAAAAACAAAATTTTAGCAGCGTGGGGGCACAAGTGCATATTTTAGTTGCCTTATAATACACATAGCTCTGAAACAGACTTTGAAGAAAGTTTTTGAACAGATTAATGCCAAACATGTGAAATGATAAAAAAAAAGTTTTGAAAACTAGTTTCTACGTAGATACTTGATTAAAAAAAAAGGGATCACCCTAAGAAATAATTTGAAAAGTTTCGATTGCACAAGAATCATAGTTACATAACTATGGGCCTTCGCTTAAGAACTGTGACATGATTTAGCATATTCCTGCATTGACTTTTGGTACGCTTGTTTTTCTATCTGCTGAGCTGCGCGGTTGGCATAACGCCCCCCCGCGCCTCCGCAGTGCACTGCAAGCTTTTAACAGACAACAAAAGTGTGCTGCATCGCTGTTCGGGGCCACCTCACACTTGACCATTTTCAAGAGCGCAGTGCGGGAGCCAAGAAACCTCGCCGCACCAACTATCTCGTAAAGCTTGTGCCTATGGCACAAAGTGGTAAGCCAATA